GTGAATTATTGTTTGCAAACAATTGTCTCATGAAATTGAAGACTCAATTGTCTCACATTTACCACACGTTTGAGACACAACTCACGGCTGAAGACAAACACAACTACAATGAGTTGACACAAGAGTTGCGACCATTGGATGCGGGCGTCAAACGGGAAGACACGGCCGACACTAGAGTTCACGGACTCTACCATTCGCTGCAGTGGACGACACCCGCGGATCTACTAATCGCCAGTTTAACCACCGATGAAGGCATTGATGCGACACCTGTTGTGCCGAAGAAGACGCCGACAAAGAGGCCGAAGAAGACGTGCGATACCAACAACACAAGTGATAACGCGGTTGTGGTTAAACAGCGGCGCCGCCGGAGCCCTAAGACACCGGTCAGCGAGTGTTCGCCTGAAGAGCTGGAAGAGTTGCGCCAGAAGTATGTGGACAGGAAAGACATATGGGATGCGGACACACAGCGGTTCCTGTGCCCGAAGAATGACTGCCCCGTGTCGTCCAAATCCATCAAAAATCTGTACAATCACTTGCGGACCAGTCATAAGATGCCGTCGATTGGTATCTCATGTCAGGACAGAGTCAACGAACACACGGCTCCCTATTTGTCGCCCGACGGCCAGCACTACGTGTGCGTTGAGCCCAACTGTCTTCAGCCGAACGGCGTGTTTGACAATCAGCTTAACTTTTACCGACATCTGATCAAAGATCACCGCAAACTGCCGGACATTGTCTGCGAATACTGCGGCAAAGTGTTCAAGAAGGCAAAGCTGTACACACTTCACAAGCGGATCCACACCAACACAAAGCCATACGCGTGTCATATGCCGGGCTGTGAGTACAGGGGCCGCACGAAACCGCAACTCAATTATCACATGGCTGTCCACACGGAGGACCGACCGTTTCTGTGCGCACACGAGGGCTGCGCCAAGACTTTTAAGAGCCGCGAGAAACTGCGCGAACACTCGGAGACACACGACCCGCACTTCCGGATCAAGTGCTCGGCCGACGGGTGCGACGAGTGGTTCAAGAGTCGCTACTGGCGTACCATTCATGTCAAACTCGTGCATAAGGGTCTGCCGCCGGAGCTCTGCAAGAAAGTGGCCAAAAAGTTTGTGTGCGATTGGCCGGGATGTGAGTTCCGCGGCGCCCTCCAGAACCTCGCCATTCACAAGAGTGTCCACACGGGTGAGCGACCGTTCGCCTGCGATTGGCCCAACTGTGGCAAACGGTTCCGTTTGAAACAGTATCTTAACGACCATAAGAATATCCACATTAACCAAAAGCCATTGGTGTGTCACTGGCCTGGATGTGCCTATCGGTGCAACGATTCAGGCAATCTTCGCAAACACATCCGCACTACTCATAAATAATGCAGACATTTATTGGTTGATTTGATTTGGATTTTTATTTATTTTATTTTTATATTAATGTGTTTTAATTGTACTTTTCATTGATTACAGATTTAATTACTATTTAAATACAGATTAGTTATTGTTATAATTTAATTTAAAACTGGTTATCAATAAAAAATATTAATGGTTTTGCAATTCAATGCAATAACAGTCCCCCCAATGAGTGCATGTGTTATGAGTTGTTGTGTTTGTAAACAATGTTTTGTTGTATTTGTTGTGAGATTTGGTTTTAATTGTGGTTTAAATTGAGATCTCATTGAAAGTAATGGCAAAACAATTGACACGAGTTTTGGTCAAAAGTAATGACATTTTTGACGAACTCTTCGACGAAAACAAACGACTTTTGAGTGAATTATTGTTTGCAAACAATTGTCTCATGAAATTGAAGACTCAATTGTCTCACATTTACCACACATTTGAGACACAACTCACGGCTGAAGACAAACACAACTACAATGAGTTGACACAAGAGTTACAGCCATTGGAAACGTCTGACACGAGTGGCAATGGATGGCCGCAATGGACAACACCCGCAGACCTACTGATCGCCCGCATGACCACCGATGACGGTGTGGTCGAAGCGCCAGTTATGACTAGCGCTAAGAAGGGGTCAAAGTCTTTGTGCAATAAGAAGAAAACACGTGATAATCGGGTTGTGGTTAAGCGACGCCCCGGAAGGCCTAAAGTGTTGAAACAAGAGTTGCAGTCAATAGATATGGGAATCAAAGCGGAATCGTCTGAAGCCGCCGACGATCGCAGTTCTCCACCCGTGGATCACATCATCTCTGATGAAGACAATGAATCGTATGATAAGAGCGAGAAATTAGAGGTTAAGAAACGAATCCGAAAACGAAGAACAGCTGCGGAGAAGGAAGAGCTCGAAGAACTGCGACAGAAGTACTTGAATTTTGAGGGCACAATGGATGAGACGACCGGTCATTACGTGTGCCCTAAGACTGGCTGTAACGAATCCGAAAACGAAGAACAGCTGCGGAGAAGGAAGAGCTCGAAGAACTGCGACAGAAGTACTTGAATTTTGAGGGCACAATGGATGAGACGACCGGTCATTACGTGTGCCCTAAGACTGGCTGTGACTCAAAATATGAACTACTTATTGATCTATACAAACATCTTCGGACAGTCCATGAATTGCAATCAAGTGGTCCTGAGTTTGAACAGAGAGTGGATTCGCACACAAAAGAGTACTTCGATGTCGACACCAATTGCTATGTCTGTACGGAAGGCGACTGTCGAGAGAGAATCAAAAAACGGTTCACTTTTTACCGACATTTAATCAACGCTCACAACAAAAAGCCGAACATTGTGTGCGATGTCTGCGGCAAAGCGTTCAGACTTCCGGCTCAGCTGCTGATCCACAAGCGAAGGCACACCAATACGAAGCCATACAAGTGCTCGATCGCCGGCTGCGACTACCGGTGCCTAACCGGAGGTATGCTTAGCGAACACCTGACCAGCCATTCGTCGGATCGGCCTCATCGGTGCCCATTCGAGGGCTGCGGTAAGACCTTTAAGACTGCGGGTCATATGCAAAGGCACTCTCTATCGCACGACAAGACATTTCAGATGAAGTGCACTGTCGACGGGTGTGACGAGTGGTTTAAGACGGCGTATTGGCGTACGTTACACGTCAAACAGGTCCACAAGGGTTTGGCGTACGAAGAGTGTCGCCCAGTGTTCAAAAAGTGGCAGTGCGGATGGCCTGGCTGTGAGTTCAGGGGCAAAGCCGGTACGTTGAAAACTCACCATTACATCCATACGGGTGAGCGGCCGTTCGCCTGCGATTGGCCCGGTTGTGACAAACGGTTCCGCCAAATACAACGCCTCGGCGACCACAAGAATGTTCACGTCAATGATAAGCCCCTGATGTGTCATTGGCCTGGATGTGCCTATCGGTGCAACGATTCCGGCAATCTTCGCAAACACATCCGCACTAATCATAAATAGTTTAATTGTTTGTTTAATTTTCTTGTTAAATACAATATAATTTTATTGTGCATTAATTTTTGTAATATTGTGTTTAAAACTGATTCATAAATAAAGATAATTAAAAGTTAATAAAATAATTGATTTAAACTTTTTTTCAGTGCTGTTTTGAATGTAATAACAGTCCCCCCAATGAGTGCATGTGTTATGAGTTGTGTTTGTAAACAATGTTTTGTTGTATTTGTTGTGAGATTTAGTTTGAATTGTGGTTTGAATTGAAATCTCATCGAAAGTAATGGCAAAACAATTGACACGAGTTTTGGTCAAAAGTAATGACATTTTTGACGAACTCTTCGACGAAAACAAACGACTTTTGAGTGAATTATTGTTTGCAAACAATTGTCTCATGAAATTGAAGACTCAATTGTCTCACATTTACCACACATTNGAGTGAATTATTGTTTGCAAACAATTGTCTCATGAAATTGAAGACTCAATTGTCTCACATTTACCACACATTTGAGACACAACTCACGGCTGAAGACAAACACAACTACAATGAGTTGACACAAGAGTTACGACCATTGGATGCGGGCGTCAAACGAGAAGTGATCGCTGAAGAGATAAACGAGACACCAATCGTGACGAAGAGTAGGAAAAGGCCAAAGTCTTCGTGCGATACCAACAAAACCAGTGATAATCGGGTTGTGGTTAAGCGACGCGTCGGCAGACCTAAAGTGTTGAGACAAGAGTTGCAGTCATTAGATATGGAGACCAAAAAGGAGGCGCCGTCTGAGGCCACCGACGATCGCAGTTCTCCACCCGTGGATCAAAGCATCTCTGATGAAGACAATGAATCGTATGATAAGAGTTTCGAGAAATTAGAGGTTAAGAAACGAATCCGAAAACGACGAACAGTTGCGGAGATGGAAGAGCTCGAAGAACTGCGACAGAAGTACTTGAATTTTAATGGCATAATGGATGAGACGACCGGTCATTACGTGTGCCCTAAGACTGACTGTAACTCTAGGTATGGACTGCTTATTGATCTGTACCGACACATGCGTTCAGTCCATGAATTGCAATCTTGTGGTCCAGAGTTTCAACAGAGAATGGATTCGCACACAAAAGAGTACTTTGATGTCGACACCAATTGCTATGTCTGTACGGAAGGCGAGTGTCGAGAGAGGATAGAAAAACAATATAATTTTTACCGACATTTAATCAACGCTCACAACAAAAGGCCGGACATTGTGTGCGATGTCTGCGGCAAAGCGTTCAAACTCTCGGGTCAGATGCGAATTCATCATCGGATTCACACCAATACGTTCGGTATGTTCACGAGCTAGCGGCTGACGCCGGCGGTCAAGGCCACGAGTCCATACGAGTGGCGAGTGTACTGGTCGGTAAGCCTACTCGCCGGTATAGTAACGGTTAAGCTCCCGACGCCATTCCCTTTTAAGAGCGATCGGCGATTGCAAGAGCACTCGCAAACCCACGACAAGACATCGCTGATCAAGTGCTCTGTGAACGGCTGCGACCAGAGCAAATTCTTGCTGATATCTGCATCTAATGTGCAGTTTGACCAGGTGTTCCCAAACAGTATGCTTCTCACAGCGTTTCACAGGTTTTGATACGGTACACAAACCGGGCCTACACTTAAATCCCCGCCATCGAGTACATTGAAGTCTCACCATTACATCCACACGGGTGAGCGGCCGTACGCCTGCAATTGGCCAGAATGTGGTAAACGGTTCCGGCAAAAGCATCACCTCAGCGATCACAAGAATATTCACGTCAATGATAAGCCCCTGATGTGTCACTGGCCCGGCTGTGGCTATCGGGACAACAATTCAGGCAATCTTCGCAAACATATCCGCACTAAACATAAATAGTTTACAGGTGTTAATGATTTGTTATATAATTTTATTGTCAAATACATTAATTTTTGTAATTTTGTAATTATAAATATAGATAATAATTAAAAGTTCATAAAATAATTGATTTAAACATTTATTAAGTGCTGTTTTGAATGCAATAACAGTCCCCCCAATGAGTGCATGTGTTATGTGTTGTTGTGTTTGTAAACAATGTTTTGTTGTATTTGTTGTGAGATTTGGTTTGAATTGTGGTTTGAATTGAGATCTCATCGAAAGTAATGGCAAAACAATTGACACGAGTTTTGGTCAAAAGTAATGACATTTTTGACGAACTCTTCGACGAAAACAAACGACTTTTGAGTGAATTATTGTTTGCAAACAATTGTCTCATGAAATTGAAGACTCAATTGTCTCACATTTACCACACGTTTGAGACACAACTCACGGCTGAAGACAAATACAACTACAATGAGTTGACACATGAGTTGCTGCCATTGGATGCGGGCTTTCAACTGAAACACCGAACGGAAAGCACCGGTAATTCAGCGGTTGAGTGGACGACACCCGCGGATCTACTCATCGCTCGTATGATCACTGATTCGCCTCAAGATATGGTCACAAGTTATAGACTGCCCGACAAAAGGGGCAACAAATCAATGGTAAACGTGTCCGCGAGAAGACGCGGAAAGCGACCGATGGTTACCACCGAATCCACTGTCGATGAACTGGAAGTTATGCGACAGAAGTTAACCACTCGGGAGTGGATATCGGATGAGCTGACCCGCCGTAATGTGTGTCCATCGCAACCATTAAGTGGTAACATTAAGAGCGAACCTCTTGAGTCTCAAACCGATGACAGCGTGTCGTTTGAATGGACGACAGCCGCCGACCAATCCATTGGCGATAGTATTGTTAAGAAAGTTAAACGACGCCCAAAAGGAGTGTCCGATTGCACGCCCGAAGAGCTCGAGATTTTGCGCCAGAAGTTTGTCAATAGGGAAGGCATTTGGGATGAGTTGACCGGACATTACGTGTGCCCGAAGAGCGATTGTAAAGCCGCGTACGAACAGATCAACGATCTGTACCGACACATGCGTTCAGTGCATAGATTGCCATCGAGTGGTCCAGAGTTTCAGAAGCGGATCGATTCGCACACCAATGAGTACTTCGATGTCGACACCAATTGCTATGTCTGTACGGAAGGCGACTGTCGAGAGAGGATTCAAAAACAGTTTGCTTTTTATCGACACCTAATCAACGCTCACAACAAAGTGCCGGACATTGTGTGCGATGTCTGCGGCAAAGCGTTCAAACGTACGGGCGATCTGACCACTCATCAGCGACTCCACGCGGACCCGCTTAAAGCCCATCACTGCCCGCTGGAGGGCTGCGACTACCGGTGCCGTAACAAACAGCTGCTCGAACAGCATATGGTGGGCCACTCGGACGCGCGACCCTATCAGTGCGATCACGTGGACTGCGATAAGCGGTTTAAGACGGCCTCCAATTTGAGAGTCCACTCGGAGACACACATCGCCGACTTCCAGATCAAGTGCTATATAGACGGCTGCGACCTCTGGTTTAAGAACCGATGGATCCGCAAACGTCACGTCCATTTGGCGCACAAGGGTTTGACGCCCGAAGCGCTCAAACAGTCGCGCAAGTCGTGGCCATGCGATTGGCCCGGATGTGAGTTCGCCGGCAGTAATGCGGCGCTCATTATGCATAAGCGGGTCCACACGGGTGAGCGGCCCTTCGCCTGCGATTGGCCCGAATGTGGCAAACGGTTCCGTTTAAAGGCACACCTCAACGATCACAAGAATATTCACATTAATTTTAAGCCATTGATGTGTCACTGGCCCGGCTGTGGCTACCGGTGCAACGATTCCGGCAATCTTCGCAAACATATCCGCACTAAACATAAATAGTTTAATGATTTATATTTTAATTATAGTTTATTTTTATTACAATTTTATGAATAAATGCAAATAAATTATGACACTATTTATTATAATTTTTAAACTTGTTGGATTTGATAAATAAATTTACATTTTACAAGATTAGTACTTTAATTGTATTGTAAATATTGTTTAAGAAATAATAAATTAATAGTTTATTGAAACAATTAAAAGGCGTATAATTTGTACATTGAATTCACAGCGAAAACTTTACACAAGTTTCTAACTGTAAATCACTACTGATTTGTTGGTTCAAATTCATGCCTAACATTCACCCAAATAGGGTGACCACCAAAAATGCCCGTAAAAAAGGACAACTGACAAAAAATAGTCCTCAAGAAAAGGACAAAAAAGGACGCAAAAAAATTAGTCAATATAATTTGTATTAATTCGACATAAATGGGTTAAAATCATTAATTTTATATTTGTGAAGATTTGACAGATCGTAGTATTATCTTATTATTCTTAATGAAGTTTTTAAATTTAATACAATTCAAATTCAATCCGGTTTTTGCCGGCGTTATGTCGCACTTAACTGGTGTTAGACTTAAACTTTACTTTAAAAGTTAAAATTTCCCCTTGACTTTAAGAATAAGTTTCCTTCCGTGGACAAAACTTAACTTAACTTACAATGTAAACTAACCAGCGCATGTGACTTAACTGGGTAAACTAAATAAATGCCTTACAAAATATTGTAAATAGAGGTATCATAAATGTCTCTATTTACTATTTTGCATGTTAAAGTTAAGTATCTTTCGATGAACACAATTAACTTTTCAAGTAAGCTAAATATTTTCCGTAGACATAGTATAACAATACTAACAAATAACATTCTTCAGGGCATAATTTCAATGACATTTCCAATATTTTTAAAAATATTCACCTTTTTATATTAAAATTAATAAAACTAAAAAAGGACACAGTATAGTCCTTTCCGACTACTCGAAAGGACGCTGTCCTGAAAGGTCGAAAAAAGGACAAAACCCATAAAAAAGGACGTTCTGGTCACCCTACACCCAAACCTTAGACCCAATTCTGATGCAATCATACCATTACTGATTACATCAGCCCAAGTGATCACCATTTGTACAGTTCATTGCGTCAGTGAACGGGCCTATGGTTTGAGGCGGCGCTCCGTTTAGGTGATGTTAAATCGTTTAAATTATTAACAGGTATTTATTGATTAGTTTTGTTATACTTTTATTTAAAACATTTATCATTTTTAATAAAGTTATTTAAGTTTTAAGCAGATATTACTGGCATTTTGTATTACATATGATATAATGTCGTCGACGTCGACACCAAACAGACACCACTTCGCCAATGGATGCATTGAATTAACGGCCGGTGCTATCGGTATATAGCAAACAAGTGTTTAATTGTTGTATTTATTGTTCATATTGCGATCACTTTAGGAGCGACTGTCAATGTATTGGTTGGCCACCCGTTGGACACAATGAAAGTCAAAATGCAAACGTTTCCTCATTTATACAGGAATTCATTTAATTGTTTTCAACAGATTGTGGTTAAGGTGTGACAGAAATCAAATTGTGATGGGTTTAATTAATTTAATTAATAACTAATTTAATTAATCAATCGATAGGAGGGATTCGTTAAAGGCCTATACGTTGGCGTACGACCCGCTCTGATCGGCGATATCCTCGAGAAGTCTGTCCTATTCTTCGCCTACGATGTGTGTCAGCAATGTGTCTCTTATTTCAGAGGCTCAGACCAATTGACCACTTTTGATAAGGCATTATCAGGTGATGTGTGTCTGACACTAATTATTCATTAATGTAATTATCGTAAAAATTTAGGATTTTATGCATCGTTTTTCTCATGTATGGTCTGTTCTCCTCCGGAACTAATAAAAGTCAAATTACAGGCGTTAAGAGAAACTGGAGTCAACACTAATATGTAAGTCAATTATTATTTACCATCATTTTAATGGCCATTTCTGTGTATATGTGATAATCTCTATTTCAATGATCTGAGCAGTAGTTCCGTTCAAATGACGCGACAGATACTACGCGAAGAAGGTGTGCACCGATTCCTGAGTCTTATTTGCGACACAATATCACAAATACAAAACTCTTTGTCCGCAGGAATTGTGGGCCTCTATCGAGGGCTGGCCTTAACGCTGATCCGAGAGATGCCCGGATACTTCTTCTACTTCGGTGGCTACGAGTTGGCCAAACAAACGATGTCCTCAAACGCACCGCCGTATCAATCGCAAGAATTGGGTAATACTTTTGAAATGGCATTCATTATAATATTGTTGTATTTGATCTAATTTTGTGGTCTAATCAACGATAGGGTTCGCGAAGACAACGATCGCCGGCGGAATCGGTGGCGTGTGTTTCTGGACGTCGATGTTTCCGTTCGACGTGATTAAGTCGAGGGTTCAGATCGGTTCCGGCGCCGTACCGAAGATGGCCTCTGTTTTTGTGGACATTGTCCGCACGGAGGGCTTCCGCGGTCTGTACAGCGGTCTGTGGCCAACCCTATTGCGGGCGTTTCCCACTCACGCCGCGCTCTTTCTCGCCTACGAGTACTCGAAGCAAACGTTAACTACAATTGCAAACAAAACTTTGTGATCATAATTAGCAGTTTATTTCTAAAATATGTCCATTTAATTAACAAATATAGAGTACCTGTTATTGTGTTTAAAACTTTTAATTTAATTTTAGTATTATTTTAAATTTGACATAACTTATAAAGTGATAACTTATAAACAGGTGCTGTATAAACAAACCTTGATTTCTGGCACTTAATTATCAACACACAGTGTAATTCCAGTGTTGATAACACGAAATATAGTTTAATCAAATATATACACATATTTAGCCATTATCAGTAAATAAACTTCATTATATTGAAAACTCAACCATAATGAAACATTTGATGCATAAATGATATTTACTATTAATATCATTTACAGTAAATAGTTTTAAATTGTTTATGACAAATTCATATCCCATGTCTGGGAGACCCATAAGTTCGAGCAGAAATGTGACCATGGTCAGTGGTAATCGTACAGCAAATAATGTAAATTACAGACAACTAATACTCGTTTGGATTAATAGTTGTTTTCAATTCACAGCCAAACGACGCGATGAATGCCGAGAGGTATCCGGAAATGGAGTTCTTTATGAATGAATCGGAAAGCGATGTCATATTCATAATCGATGGCCAGAGAGTGCCCGCACTTCGAGACGTGTTGCGCCTCAAGAGCGACGTCTTTAGAGCCATGTTTTCCGGAGAGTTCACAGAATCTCAACAGAAAGAGATCCGCATCGAAGACATCACTGTCTCGGCGTTCAAAACGATGATTCAATTCCTATACACCGATCGACTCGTGTTGGCCGACGAGCGGGACTTCGGTCTCATCGGCGACGCTCTCCAGTGCGCCGACAAATACCGAGCCCTACGGCTGATGGACGCCATCGGCCAACACTTGTCCGCCGCGATGACCGTCCAGAACGTCGAGAGTGTGGCCAAAATGGCGTTCGGCTATCGAATGGATTCGCTGATCGATTCGGTGAAAGAGATGTTTGACAAACATTTCGACCAAATCTTGCGTAAAGAGCAGAAAGTGTTGAACAAATTGAATGACACGACAAACAACTTGTGGTTAGAAGTGATGACAAAGAATTTGTTGCGAACCCAAGAATATTCCGGAAACAATCGCGTTGTGGTTAAGAGACGAAGAATCAATGATTATTTCGACTTTTTCAGCAATGATTACTAACTGTCCCTCTATTTTATATACCTTTCATAAGCCTCTCTCCCATTAAACACTTACCAATTACTCGGAGACCAACGCATGTGTGGCTATTACTGGCCGTCCAGTTGAGCACCAAATCTGTCGAGTTATTCACATTTAGTACAAAAACCAATACACGTATCACTCGTTCATATAATCAGTAATTAATTGTGATTATTGTGCCAATCATCGCATATAATTGATGTTCAGACACCCGGCTATTGGCGCCTAACCGTGTATTTTGCCAATCAATATAAATGAGTCACATTTTAATTTAGTTAAATGTAATTTTATTCAATGATATGATTTATTAAATTGGCATTTTTAATTAAAAAATATTTATTTTTTCATACATTTCTAGTTTATTATAAGTATTATTATAATTCGTTTTGAACGTCGCGTCCAAATGTAAAGTCAGTGTAAAAACATTACAATAAATTTAAATTAATGACCAAAAAACAGGAATTTGTTTATGATTTCACAAAAAACTTCAAAATAATAATTATATATATATTTGTTAAAAACAATTTGCTTTAACTTTAAGCACATTCAATGTGTATTCAGAAAAACAACATTTGATTTAATCGTTTGGGAAAAATTCGGTGAAAACTCTTTGGGCTTCAGGTGTGGATGCGGTCAGTGATGGAAGGCTTCGGCGGGAATCATGTTTTCGGTCTTAAGCTTCTCGAAGACAGTGAACGCGGTCTCCATATTATATGCATTCTCTTCGAGACACTGAACGGCGAACGAGCGGTTCATTTTCGTAAACGCCATAAACTTCTGTATAATGTCTTCGTTCGGTGACAGAGCGGACGACGAGTGACCGCCGCCAACACCTCCTCCTCCGCCTCCCTGTCCTCCTTTCCATTTGCCGCTCGACTCAAACGGTTCGGACATTACTCTATCGACGTGTGCGGCGGTGGCGACGGTTTGTTTGCCATATTTGGTCACCTGAGCGACGGTAGCGGTGGTCAGCACCAGGAGGTCGTTGACGATGACAAAGCCCTGGCCTTGCGGTACGATATAGAAGGTGCGACAGAAGGCGCGCAACGGCTGTTGCTTTTTGATGAGCTCCCGGTAGACGCCGTTCACCACAACGAGTATGAATGAGTTGGTCTGTAGGGGAATGTCTATCTTAAATGACTGGGGCTCGTGTCGGGTCATCGGCAGTTCGCACAGCGCCGACACGATCTGTACTTTCCCGCTTTTGATCAGTTTGTTTCGTAACGTAATGTCTTTGACGCGCAACAGGTTTCTCGACTCCAGGATCAGTCGCTCCGCAAACCTGTAACTATTGTTACAACAAATATAATAGTTTAGTACTGAATGAAAACAATTTCATAGCAAACCAAATGCCAACCTCTGGTCATGTCGTGAGACACTCAACGAGAACAACGCCTGGTCGTGATAGGCCTGTATTAAGCCCTGTCTGTCCTCCGAGTCGTAAATGTTATAATAGGCCTCAAAGAAGCCGTGAATGAAGGTCTTGACGTCGTCGGGCAGAAAGCTGTCCTGTTTTGGCCAAACAATGGACACAAAAGCGATAAAATAAGTTAATAAATACCGTAACAAATGGCTAATCAAGTGATTGTCGCAAATGTCAACTCACAAGAGATTGTGGTAAATTAGAGGTCTCCTGAACATCGAAACCAATGGCCGCCGGGAGGTCTTCATTATCCTAATACACAACAAAAAATGGATTGAATTTAACGGTGCATTTGAGCGGACAGTTGGCTAAACACTTACCAGTTTAACGAGTTTTGCAAAACGCGAACGAATGTAACTGAAGATAGAGTGGTATTTGCCGGACGTGTGATTAAAATCGATCATTTAGTTAAGCCGTTAAGACATATTGTAATCGCGACAATCATATCAACAAAAAAGAGATGTTTTTTTTGCATAAGATTCGCGACTAATTAGCCTTACATTCGGAGCACTCAATCAAAATTCAATGAAAACGTCAAAACACATGAAAACTAAACTCAATTGCAATTATTGTTGTGGAAAACGGGTCTCTATTCTCAACACTAAGTCCTTAATCTAATAATGAATTTATTTTTGAGTCGATATATCAAATCGGATATCATTTGCGATAACCATCCAAAACGCAGTCTTATATCTTAAATGATCACTACATTTGGTCCGGTATGTAGTGTGGCATTGAAGGGCCGGGCGCTCTACACTCGTGCCTCATAGCGTACAACAAATGGCCGTTATTTTGGTTATTTTTTTTAAATTTTAGTTTTTTTCTGTTATCGCCGTCAATGGCTAACGAGTGGCGCCGGCATTATATTTGTGATGCCCTCCAACCAGAGAGGGAACTGTCACTTCATTTGCCAATTCAGAGATTATCTCTAATTATAGCCCAAATGCATAGTAAAGACTGCGACAGCCATTTGATCCGATACTTGACATGTAATCCAAGACTCAAATAATAGGATTATAATGAAAAGACAGCAAATGAATGAATTTCTCCATTCAAATGCAGGACAGGCTTTGAATTGAGTTTTCATTTGTGACCAAAACTTAACAAAAGACGTATAGAAAAGTGTGTCAAATGTGTGGCACTTATAACCTAACCTGATATACACGGCCTGGTCTTCGAAGGTCTCGCAGATGGGATTGCCGTCGAGAGCCAACTCTATTAACTCCAAACCTTTGATGAAATCCAATTCAGATGTGTTGCGGATCTAATCAAACAAATGTCACATTAAAACCACAAACAAAATCAACAAAATATCTTCAGACAAATACCTGATTCGACGACAAATCAATGGCTTTCAATGACTCGCAAACGGCGGCCAACTTAACCAACGGCTCCAGAGTATTGAGTTTATTGTCGCGAAGGTTGAGACCGACGATGTCGGGCGTGTTGTCCATAATTATGGTGATAACGGTGTTCAACATATTGGGCCGACTCAGCGACACATAGAGACCCAGTTGTTGAAGATTATTGTCTTCGCGGAGTTTTGACAAATCCATCACTTTGTTATTCGGATCGTAGCGTTGGCTCATCACTAGCTTTATAGTGTCTGTCAACTCCTGGTCTATAGGCATCGGTGGTATCGCCGATCGGTTAACGATAACAATCAGCTTATGGCCAGAAGGAGCGGCTATTTTACGGCTGATTCCCTTCAAGGCGTCCGCCGTTTCCAAACCCAATACGAAAAATACGATCGCTTGGCCCTCATTGTGGTACTGGACGTAAAACAACATATTTAATAAAGGGGTTCACTATAAACACACCGTTGCGTATGTGTGTGACGTGTCGTACATTATATGGCGTGAAGACGAGTTGCATCGTGTCGTGAATAAGCGTCAAAAGTGTCGTTTTGTCCATTTTGCTGCCGTAAGGGATCTGTTATGGCATTCAAATGTTAATTAACACTTCAAATGCATAGAAATTGGCACAAAATTAATGGTTAATACAAACCGTTATTTTAAACCATTGACTGTCGATATCATCTCTTTCGCGGCCCGACTGTTGATTATATGACTGTTGGTTGCGTCTGAAGCCGCGGGCATTACGACCAGCGGGTGCGGCGTTACGGCCGCGACTCTTATTGGCCCTAAAAAACACAAAATCATTATTTAAAAAAACGTTTTCTACAATCAAAACATCCAAAAGCACTGACCAATTGGCAAAACTACGGTCATTGCGTTCGCCGGGATCTACTCGACGCGGATATGCGGCCGAGTTGCTAAACCCGAAACGACTGCCGCCGGCGCCCGACTGGTTCGGGTGGTCTCTGTTGCCCGAATTGAACCGTATCTGTCGTCCGGAGCCGTCGTCGCGATTAGTGATGTTTATGTTGAGATCGTCAGCACTGCTGGCGTTGCGGTCGGCCGACGACCACTTTGTCTGCTGTTTGGGTCCGTATTTCCCGCGATATCTTCGGCCCATATTCTGGCGGCTGTTGTAATGGCTGTTACTGTTGTTGTTGTTGTTGTCGTTGTAATCACGCGAATACCCTCCTGTTTATCATCGGATCCAATGGTCATTGCGGTCATCAATGGTAGTGCCAAAGGGGGAGAGAGGGGTGTCGTGGGGTTCGGGTGTGATATAAATGGACACAAAATAACAGTTAATTCAGACATTAATTGGCATTCAATTCAATGCATACTTTGATTCATTCAATTCGTGAAACACAACGTGTTTTATGCGTTGGCTTTGCGTTTGTCTTAACTATTATTACAACCAAATTATTATTAACTAATATTAACTAACGATTTACGCGCTATTATTGATGAATTGGATTCAATTTAATGTATATTTTGTTATAAATATTACGAAATGTGTTGTGATTTAAGCGTTAATTAAATGCAACAAAAATTGTTTATTTGTTGTGTGAAAACAATACACTATTCCATAACATTATGGCTGCAAAGCGTTGGCAAATATGTGTCACATAAATAACGTTATGTATTGCTGTTGTGGGGACTGAACGGCATTGCATTCACATATAGTTATGGAGTGCTATAAGTGGGGCAATTGTGGGCAGATATAAGTGTGACGTTATTTGTGAACGTCATTTGATAAAAAAGTTAATATTGTAGTTAAAGTGTGTATGAAATGGGACTAAAATATATGCGTTAATACACGTCATTGTAATGCCATTTGATATACGAATTGATGATAGCATTCACAAGTGTTTGTGTTGTTATCGATTGCATAACACGTTCAGTGAATTGAAAGCCAAACACCAAAAGAGTACAGAATATTCTGCACGAGTGGTGAGAGTGTGTTGTGTTGTGTCCGCACGTGTTGTGTCTGTGATGTGATGTCTGAGCCGTCGATCGCACCGCCGATGGACTGGTCGACAGCGGACTTGTGCCGACTCGAACACCAGGTCTGTCCCATCGACGACATTGTGGCCGCGCGTGTTGTCCAGCGGTCACGCGTTGAGTATCTGATCCGTTGGAGTTGCGGTGATGGCCAGCGGCGGCCCAAACAGTGGTTCCACACGTGGACACAGAGTCAATACATAGTAGATCCAGAGATTGAACACTTGCTTAAGAGGTATCCGCCCCAAGACATCAACCAATCCGTCATTAATGATGTCAGACAACTGTTGAACGCCAGGAGAGAGAGAGAGAGAGAGAGAGAGAGAGAGAGAGAGAGAGAGAGAGAGAGAGAGAGAGAGAGAGAAAAANATATCCGCACTAAACATAAATAGTTTAATGATTTATATTTTAATTATAGTTTATTTTTATTACAATTTTATGAATAAATGCAAATAAATTATGACACTATTTATTATAATTTTTAAACTTGTTGGATTTGATAAATAAATTTACATTTTACAAGATTAGTACTTTAATTGTATTGTAAATATTGTTTAAGAAATAATAAATTAATAATTTATTGAAACAATTAAAAGGCGTATAATTTGTACATTGAATTCACAGCTAAAACTTTACACAAGTATCTAACTGTAAATCACTACTGATTTGTTGGTTCAAATTCATGCCTAACATTCACCCAAACCTTAGACCCAATTCTGATGCAATAATCATACCATCACTGACTACATGAGCCCAAGTAATGATCACATTTGTACAGTTCATTGCGTCAGTGAACGGGCCTATGGTTTGAGGCGGCGCTCCGTTTAGGTGTAAATCGTTTAAATTATTAACAGGTATTTATTGATTAGTTTTGTTGTACTTTTATTTAAAACATTTATCATTTTCTATGAAGTTATTTAAGTTTTAAGCAGATATTACTGGCATTTTGTATCACAGATAATGTCGTCGACGTCTACACCAAACGGACACCACTTCACCAATGGATGCATTGAATTAACGGCCGGTGCTATCGGTATATAACAAACATGTATTTAATTGTCTTATTGTTAATATTGCGATCACTTTAGGAGCGACTGTCAATGTAATGGTTGGCCACCCGTTGGACACAATGAAAGTCAAAATGCAAGCGTTTCCTCATTTATACAAGAATTCATTCAATTGTTTCCAACAGATTGTGGTTAAGGTGTGACAGAAATCAAATTGTGATTGTTTTAATTGATTTAATTAATAACTAATTTAATTAATCAAATGATAGGAGGGATTCGTTAAAGGCCTATACGTTGGCGTACGACCCGCTCTGATTGGCGATATCCTCGAAAAGTCTGTCCTATTCTTCGCCTACGATGTGTGTCAGCAATGGGTCTCTTATTTCAGAGGCTCAGACCAATTGACCACTTTTGATAAGGCATTATCAGGTGATGTGTGTCCGACACTAATCATTCATTAATGTAATTATTAATGTAATTATCGTAAAAATTTAGGATTTTATGCATCGTTTTTCTCATGTATGGCGTGTTCTCCTCCGGAACTAATAAAAGTCAAATTACAGGCGTTAAGAGAAACTGGAGTCAACACTAATATGTAAGTCTTAATAATAAATGGTAGTAAAATTACCGGTAAAGACACATATACACTATTAGTCTATTTCAATGATCTGAGCAGTAGTTCCGTTCAAATGACGCGACAGATACTACGCGAAGAAGGTGTGCACCGATAGTCCTGAGTCCTATTTGCGACACAATATCACAAATACAAAACTCTTTGTCCGCAGGAATTGTGGGCCTCTATCGAGGGCTGACATTAACGCTGATCCGAGAGATGCCCGGATACTTCTTCTACTTCGGTGGCTACGAGTTGGCCAAACAAATGATGTCTTCAAACGCACCGCCGTCTCAATCGCAAGAATTGGGTAATACTTTTTGAAATGGCATTCATTATAATATTGTCGTATTTGATCTCGTTTTGTGGTCTAATCAACAATAGGGTTCGCGAAGACAACGATCGCCGGCGGCATCGGTGGCGTGTGTTTCTGGACGTCGATGTTTCCGTTCGACGTGATTAAGTCGAGGGTTCAGATCGGTTCCGGCGCCGTACCGAAGATGGCCTCTGTTTTTGTGGACATTGTCCGCACGGAGGGCTTTCGCGGTCTGTACAGCGGTCTGTGGCCAACCCTATTGCGGGCGTTTCCCACTCACGCCGCGCTCTTTCTCGCCTACGAGTACTCGAAGCAAACGTTGACTACAATTGCAAACAAAACTTTGTGATCATAATTAGCAGTTTATTTCTAAAATATGTCCATTTGATTAACAAATATAGAGTACCTGTTATTGTGTTTAAAACTTTTAATTTAATTTTAGTATTATTTTAAATTTGACATAACTTATAAAGTGATAACTTATAAACAGGTGCTGTATAAACAAACCTTGATTTCTGGCACTTAATTATCAACACACAGTGTAATTCCAGTGTTGATAACACGAAATATAGTTTAATCAAATATATACACATATTTAGCCATTATCAGTAAATAAACTTCATTATATTGAAAACTCAACCATAATGAAACATTTGATGCATAAATGATATTTACTATTAATATCATTTACAGTAAATAGTTTTAAATTGTTTATGACAAATTCATATCCCATGTCTGGGAGACCCATAAGTTCGAGCAGAAATGTGACCATGGTCAGTGGTAATCGTACAGCAAATAATGTAAATTACAGACAACTAATACTCGTTTGGATTAATAGTTGTTTTCAATTCACAGCCAAACGACGCGATGAATGCCGAGAGGTATCCGGAAATGGAGTTCTTTATGAATGAATCGGAAAGCGATGTCATATTCATAATCGATGGCCAGAGAGTGCCCGCACTTCGAGACGTGTTGCGCCTCAAGAGCGACGTCTTTAGAGCCATGTTTTCCGGAGAGTTCACAGAATCTCAACAGAAAGAGATCCGCATCGAAGACATCACTGTCTCGGCGTTCAAAACGATGATTCAATTCCTATACACCGATCGACTCGTGTTGGCCGACGAGCGGGACTTCGGTCTCATCGGCGACGCTCTCCAGTGCGCCGACAAATACCGAGCCCTACGGCTGATGGACGCCATCGGCCAACACTTGTCCGCCGCGATGACCGTCCAGAACGTCGAGAGTGTGGCCAAAATGGCGTTCGGCTATCAAATGGATTCGTTGATCGATTCGGTGAAAGAGATGTTTGACAAACATTTCGACCAAATCTTGCGTAAAGAGCAGAAAGTGTTGAACAAATTGAATGACACGACAAACAACTTGTGGTTAGAAGTGATGACCAAGAATTTGTTGCGAACCCAAGAATATTCCGGAAACAATCGCGTTGTGGTTAAGAGACGAAGAATTAATGATTATTTCGACTTTTTCAGCAATGATTACTAACTGTCCCTCTATTTTATATACCCTTTCATAAGCTTCTCTCCCATTAAACACTTACCAATTACTCGGAGACCAACGCATGTGTGGCTATTACTGACCGTCCAGTCGACGGTGCCTACTACCTGTGGGCAAAATCTGTCGAGTTATTCACATTTATGACACAAAAGGCAATACACGTATCACTCGTTCATATAATCAGTAATTAATTGTGATTATTGTGTGCCAATCAACGCATATAATTGGTGTTCAGACACCCGGCAATTGGCGCCTAACCGTGTATTTTGCCAATCGATATAAATGAGTCACATTTTAATAGTTAAATGTAATTTTATTCAATGATATGATTTATTAAATGGCATTTTTAGTTTAAAAATATTTATTTTTTCATACATTTCTAGTTATTATAATTCGTTTTGAACGTCGCGTCCAAATGTAAAGTCAGTGTAAAAACATTACAATAAATTTAAATTAAAGACCAAAAAACAAGAATTTGTTTATGATTTCACAAAAAACTTCAAAATAATAATTATATATAGATTTGTTAAAAACAATTTGCTTTAACTTTAAGCACATTCAATGTGTAATCGGAAAAACACAACATTTGATTTAATCGTTTGGAAAAATCGGTGAAAACTCTTTGGGTTTCAGGTGTGGATGCGGTCAGTGATGGAAGGCTTCGGCGGGAATCATGTTTTCGGTCTTAAGCTTCTCGAAGACAGTGAACGCGGTCTCCATATTATATGCATTCTCTTCGAGACACTGAACGGCGAACGAGCGGTTCATTTTCGTAAACGCCATAAACTTCTGTATAATGTCTTCGTTCGGATCTTAAGCTTCTCGAAGACAGTGAACGCGGTCTCCATATTATATGCATTCTCTTCGAGACACTGAACGGCGAACGAGCGGTTCATTTTCGTAAACGCCATAAACTTCTGTATAATGTCTTCGTTCGGCGACAGAGCGGACGACGAGTGACCTCCGCCAACACCTCCGCCTCCCTGTCCTCCTTTCCATTTGCCGCTCGACTCAAACGGTTCGGACATTACTCTATCGGGTGCGGCGGTGGCGACGGTTTGTTTGCCATATTTGGTCACCTGAGCGACGGTAGCGGTGGTCAGCACAAGGAGGTCGTTGACGATGACAAAGCCCTGGCCCTGCGGTACGATATAGAAGGTGCGACAGAAGGCGCGCAATGGCTGTTGCTTTTTGATGAGCTCCCGGTAGACGCCGTTCACCACAACGAGTATGAATGAGTTGGTCTGTAGGGGAATGTCTATCTTGAATGACTGGGGCTCGTGTCGGGTCATCGGCAGTTCGCACAGCGCCGACACGATCTGTATTTTCCCGCTTTTGATCAGTTTGTTTCGTAACGTAATGTCTTTGACGCGCAACAGGTTTCTCGACTCCAGGATCAGTCGCTCGGCAAACCTGTAACTATTGTTACGACAAATATAATAGTTTAGTATTGAATGAAAACAATTTGATAGCAAATCAAATGCCAACCTCTGGTCATGTCGTGAGACACTCAACGAGAACAACGCCTGGTCGTGATAGGCCTGTATTAAGCCCTGTCTGTCCTCCGAGTCGTAAATGTTATAATAGGCCTCAAAGAAGCCGTG